TTCTTTGTCTTGGCGCTGCATCTCTCTGAGCGCTGCTTCATGTGGCGGTTTCCCTGTGTGTGTGTCTATGGCCAGTTTCCCCTTGGACACCAGTCATTGGATGAGAACCCACCTAATCTAGTATAAACTCATTGTACACTGATTACATCTGCAGAGACCCTCTTTCCAAATAAGGTCACATTGACAGGTTCCAAGTGGACTTGACTTTGGGGAGGACACTAACCTAGTACAGTTATTATTTCCCTCTGAGGCATTTACACATAAAGTGATTTTTACATGTAAAAATTTTGCACATAGTGTAATATCATAGTGTTTTGGCTCTATGTACAAGGCCTACTCCAAATATGATTCTTTTAAAAAACATTTGAGTTTTTTAAAAGGTTATTTTGATATTTAAAAATAGGATATGAAAATATTCTATCTTCTTGAGGGGAAGCAGTGAATGCCACTTTTTATGTTTATTGGATTTGTAATATGAGCAGCAACTTTATTATGCTGTAAATTCTGTCATGAAAGCAATCTAAAATGTCCTTAAAATAGTTTTTAAATGATCCTTTTATAGAGAAATATAAGGAAATCTGAACCTACTAGACTTTAAATATATCTTAAGGCTATGGTAATTAAAACAGTTTAGTACCTTATTCAGGTAGAAATGGAAATATTAATGGAACTGAATAGAAGATTGCTAATTTTAAAAAATGAGGAGATGCTGAATAGAAATACAAAGGTCAAAAACTTTGGTAATGCACTGTTGGTAAGGATATGCATTTAGGCAGTTTATACTGTAATTTGAAAAGTACATCAAAGAATATATATTCATGGATGCTCAGTGCCACATTGTTTGTAAAAGCAAAAAACTAGAAATAATCTGGTTAAGTCAGAATTTATATACTCCATGGAATACTATATATGTGTGAAAAGCATGAGTTGCATTCATATTCGTGGATATGAAACATCTCCAGTAAAAAAACAGGTGAATAGCAGGGCTCCCACTTGTTTAGGAAAAGAGGTGGGCAGGAGTAATACACATTCATATGTTTATATATGTTTTTGTCCATTTATAAAATATGTACGAGGGCACTTCAAAAAGTCTGTGAAAAATGGAATTAAAAGATAATATTAATCTTTCCATGAACTTATATATGAGGGTACTTTGAAAAGTACCCTCCCTTGTGGGAAGATTAATATTATCTTTTAATTCCATTTTTCACAGACTTTTTGTAGTACCCTCACATGTAAGAATATATAGAAAGTCACAACAGTGGTTGCCTCGGGAGACAGGTCTGAAGTAGAAGATTTGACTTCTCATACCTTTTTGTACTCTTGTTTTTAGCTAGATACATAATTTTTTTAATGAAAATAACTTTAAGAAAAAACTGACATGTTCCTAAGGGTATGTAAATATTAAATACATTATAACTCATGCTTATGAAGAAGTGTTTTTGACCTGTGTTTTTCTATAAAGTTAATAAGGAACCGTCAGCCCCTCATTATATGTAAACCGAGGGAAAAGCAATCTTACAGGTATGCTATGTGTTGCTTTTTCAGAATCTCTACATATGTAACTGACTCGAGTGTAAGTCACTTCTTCACTCACTAAGCCCTACTGTTGCTAAAGGTGACCCATGGCTGTGTGGCAACTATCCCATGCCTTTCAAAGCATCCAAGAAATATTCTCAAAGTTAGGCCATAAAGGAACANAGGAACCGTCAGCCCCTCATTATATGTAAACCGAGGGAAAAGCAATCTTACAGGTATGCTACGTGTTGCTTTTTCAGAATCTCTACATATGTAACTGACTCGAGTGTAAGTCAGTTCTTCACTCACTAAGCCCTACTGTTGCTAAAGGTGACCCTTGGCTGTGTGGCGACTATCCCATGCCTTTCAAAGCATCCAAGAAATATTCTCAAAGTTAGGCCATAAAGGAACACATAACTAGTGCTGCTTGTCTGTATACCCGCAGTGAGCAGTCTGTGACCCCATCCCTTCTTCTGTCACTAAAAGCATATGTGAGTCCAAATGAGCACAAAGTGTCATGAGTCTACTCCTATTTTAACTTAAAGCGTTAAGAAATACAGAAAAGTGCACCTATAAGTATATGGCTTGTTGAATTTTCAGAAACAGCAAACTAGTGGAACCAGTACCCAGATCAAGAAGCTAACATTAGTGGCACCCAGAAGTCCCCCTTGGATCCCCTTCCAGTCACTGTCCACCCCTGAAGGTAACATATCCTGAACTGAGACAACAGATTCTCTGTGTCTGGTTTTCTCTTTGATATAAATGGAATCATAGATTATGTATTCTCCTGTTTCTGGCTTCTTCAGCATTATTTGAGAGCGCGTTCTAATTTTTTAAAACATCAAGAAGCCACATATCAGCTATTATTAGTTACGAATTACTTGTGACTTCTCAAACTTATCTATGGCACGCCCGGCTTGCTGGTATGGTGAGATTGACAAACACCTGTCCAACAATAAAGTTCGTATAACTTCGTATAATGTATGCTATACGAAGTTATTACGGTCATCTCAAAGTAAGTGATAGAAGTCGATTCATATTCAAATATTTGTAGTATTTTATTCATATTATCTTTCATAAAATTAGTATACTTACTAGTGTAGACGCCTTCCCCTCTGTTCTGAACTATTAGATTGTACATGGTCCGTATTCTCTGCACTTTGCTCTTTCCTGTACTGTGTAGCATTTGTCGCATTATACTTGAATCATTAGTCAATGGTCTTTCTATTTCCCAAGCTCTTTTTACATTGTCCCCAGTGGATAGTATCACATCTGTCACATTATAGGCACACCACAAATGTTGAATAAGTGAGAAGAGATCCCTCTCCAAGGATTTGATAATCTACTGGGGGAGACAGATGTGCAGAGAATTATAGTCATTAACACATTCACTTCCTGTATGCCAGCCACTATACTAAGTGCTCTTCTAATCCTCACAATAGTATTAGAAGATAGGAACTATTATGATCCCTGTTTTGCAGATGAGGAGATTAAGC